CATCCCCAAACCCAATCTCAAAGCCACAAACACACCCCCAACCCACCACCCAACATGACACACCCAACTCCTCCTCCTCCCATACACCCCAAATTCATGATCAACAAAACGAAATTAAGCAAACACAAGGGAACCTCAGAGAAGAACCACCACCCATCTTTCTCTCCGAACAGCGGCTCGTTTCTATCCGGTGGAGACGACGACCCATTGTCCCCCTTCCCGGCTCGGCAATGGCCGCTGTTCGCTTCCTCTTTCTCCTCCTCTTCTTCTCTTCCTCCCCCTACCTCTCCCTCTCCTTACCACAAGACCAAGAAGCTCTCCTCAAGTTCAAGAAATCACTCACCCATGCAGGTGCCTTAGACAAGTGGACTCCTGATCAAAACTCATCTCCATGCAAAGCCAAATGGACCGGGATTGTTTGCTCCAGGGGCAGTAATGTCATCAGTGGTCTCCATATCTCCGACATGGGTCTCTCTGGAAAGATTGATTTTGATGCCTTGAAAGACATTCCTACCCTAAGAACCATTAATTTCATGAACAACAATTTCTCAGGTTCAATCCCAGACTTCCACACACTTGGTGCCTTGAAATCCTTGCTCCTGTCAGGAAGTGGATTCTCTGGTGAAATACCAAAAGACTACTTTTCCCATATGACCTCACTGAAAAAAATATACCTCGGTAACAACAATTTCACAGGCAAAATCCCAGAGTCCTTGGGCCAATTGAACAAGCTAGAAGAACTTCACTTGGAGAAAAACCAATTCACAGGCCCTATCCCCAAACTAAAACAAGGATTGAACTCACTTGACTTGTCAAATAACAAGTTACAAGGTCCAATCCCAGACAGCATGTCCAAGTACAACCCAAAGGCATTTGAAGGAAATGAAGGGCTCTGTGGCGTGCCACTCAAGTCATCATGTAAATCCCCATCTCCATCCCCATCACCAGCTCCAACCCCTGCCCCTTCCCCTTCCCCATCAACCCCATCACCATCCCCACCACCTTCGTCGCCGTCCTCGTCATCCTCAGACGTGGATTCTAAAAGAACGACAACCATCATCATAATCATCAGTGTCATCTTGGGTATCATGATACTACTCTTGCTGTATGTGTTGTTTGTAGCAAAAAGGCGAAAGAGAGACGACGATTTCGATGTGCTTGGGAAAGAACAATTGGATGATCATCATCAGCAGGTGGTTGAAGTTCATGTCCCAAGTAGCAACAACCGCAGTCTGGGCAGCACTAATCATAGCTTGGAGGTCCACCAAACCAGTAGCAAAAAAGGGGACTCTAAGAAGGGGTCAAATCATGGGAAAAATGGCATGAACGAGCTTTTGATGGTGAATGATGAAAAGGGTTCGTTTGGATTGTCTGATTTGATGAAAGCTGCGGCTGAGGTTTTAGGGAATGGAGGGTTGGGATCGGCTTACAAGGCTGTGATGTCCAATGGGATGTCTGTGGTGGTGAAGAGGATGAGGGACATGAATAGGTTGGGGAGAGATGGGTTTGATGCTGAGATGAGAAGGTTTGGAAGATTAAGGCACAAGAATATCTTGACTCCTTTGGCTTACCATTATAGGAGAGAGGAGAAGCTGTTGATCTCAGAGTACATTCCTAAGGGCAGCTTGCTATACCTTTTGCATGGTATGAACTTGTCACAATTTTGCTTTAACTAATCTTGTTTTAAGCTTCTACATTATAACCATTTTGATTTTTGGTATTTTGGCTCCATGGTGACATAGTTATGTTAGAGATGTAAACTATAATGCGATCATTCTATTGAAAACTCATGTGACACTACCTAATATGATCAGTCGTCTTTAGATTGAGAGTCTGCCAAACTAGGCTAATGCAAACGTTTAATTTGCAGGTGATCGTGGCATTTCTCATTCGGAGCTGAATTGGCCTATCCGTCTGAAGATAATCCAAGGAATTGCATGTGGAATGGGGTTCATCCACACAGAGTTTGCATCCTATGACCTTCCCCATGGAAACCTCAAGTCAAGCAATGTTCTGTTGAATGATGACTATGAGCCAGTCCTAAATGACTATGCCTTGCATCCCCTCATCAACCCCAACAATGCTGCTCAAACAATGTTTGCTTTTAGGACCCCAGAGATCACAGAGTCCCAGCAAATATCTCCAAAGTCTGATGTTTATTGCCTAGGGATTCTAATCCTTGAGATCCTAACTGGGAAATTCCCTTCCCAATATCTAAGCAATGGCAAAGGAGGAACTGATGTGGTGCAATGGGTGCAATCAGCAATGGCTGAGCAGAGAGAAGAAGAGCTGCTTGACCCAGAGATAGCAAGTGATGCAGACTCTGTGGATCAGATGGTGCAGCTTCTCAAGATTGGAGCTGATTGCACTCTCAGTGATCCTGAGCAAAGACTTGATATAAGGGAAGCCATTAGGAGGATAGAAGAGGTACAAGTATGAGAGGCATATAGGCATGCATATATATACGGTAATGTGCTTGCTCTATATACTTCAATTCAGATGGGCTTTCTTTCAACAAGGTGAGAAATTAAAAGGGCAAGAGGAGATCAAAGCAACCACAGAAGCAAAGCAATGGAATTGAGTGAAAAAATACTAGATAATTAAAAGTGATAAATTTCTAAACAGGTGCAGGTTTTTTTTCTCTTGCCATATAGGTGAGAAGAAAAGTAAAAGGGGTAGGAGGAGAGTGTTGGGTTGGAACAAAGGGAAGCAAATGGAATTTAGTGAAAAATACTGAATAAATTAAGTCATATTTCTATTCTGGAGGAAGTTTTGGTTCTTAGTTCTCTGATCTAATTCCTGATCATGAGGGTGTGATACCCTTTTTTTCTTCTTCTTTTTTAAATTAGTTGTACATAGGAGGATATTTCAGGTCACCATAATAATTTTCTTTTCTAGGAATACTAACAGAGAGACATTCATTCATGTACATAAATGACATACATACATACATGTATCACATGATTTTATTTAATGGCTTGTCATTTTCCAAGATTTTCAAAATTGTTTCCAACAAGAGGCTGGCAAAATCTCTATCCCCATATGCTTCCTTTTGCCATTGAGTCAAAATTTCTTTCCTGATAGAAATAATTGAGATTCCAAATGAAGTGAGCTCATAATTTAATAAAGAAATAATTGCCACATTATTTGATGAACAAGAGTAGTCAAACAGAGAAAGCAAAAAAGAAAAAAGAAACACCAATTGGTTGAAAAAGAACACCACCACTTGCAAAGAAAACGACGAGTCGTCTGATAAAAACCCATATAATATTATAGGTGACCTTGTCAAATTTGGTTAGCTAGCTCTCTTGTGCTCAGTCTGTCAAATTACCCAAAACACAAAAATCACAAAGTGAATCTAAGAGTGTTGTCAGAGGAAGACAAAACAGGTTTCAGCTTTCCACAGATCCCACGGACATGGCAACTACATCACAGATTGTCGAGAAACTGAAACTGAATCCCCACCCAGAAGGTGGGTTTTATTTTGAAACTTTCAGAGACATCTCCATTGCCCTGCCCTTGTGCCAGCTTCCCCCAGATTGTAAGTCCTTGTAACTCTGTACTTATCATTTTGTTTTTCAACAATTTCTCATGTTTTGTACACTGATCTGATCTGACTTTGGATGTTTCATTTCCTCTGTGTATTGGGTTTTTATTGTTATTTGCATTTTGATCCTGAATTTGGAATTTTGGAAAATATTTGGAATGAAAGTTGGCTAGATTGTGTTATATCTGCTGTTTGGTTGGATGATATTGGATTTTTGTGAGAATCTACTTATTCATGCAACAAAGTTTATTCCTGAAATCATATGTTCAATTGAAATGGAAATAGATCCACTTTGCTCATCAAAATGAGCCTAATTGTTATATATGGGAAATTGTTGTTTCCACCTTCAATGATGCTTAGTAACTATTTTCTTGCTACTTTGTATTGTTTTTACTTACCATTTGTTCTACTAATAGAGCTGTAGCTTCTTATCTGCAGACAAGGTTGAGCGCCCTGTGAGTTCTTCGATCTACTTCTTGCTGCCTTCTGGGGATGCGTCACGCCTTCATCGTATACCAATGGCTGAAACCTGGCATTTTTATCTGGGAGAACCTATTACGGTATGCCCCGATCACAGCTCAGACGTTGAAAGATTGAAATACTCTGCATTGACATGCCATTTCTATGGTCATTTCAAGATACAGAGAGCTTCTAAAAGTGGCTTTGTGATATATTATAGTACATTTGTATTCAAAGTGATTTATTTCTCTATGTTATTTTGTTGTTTCATCTTTGCTATCAGATAGTGGAGTTGGATGACAAAGATGGGCAAGTCAAATTCACCTGCCTTGGACCCAATTTGATTGGAGAGGATCAGCAACCCCAGTACACGGTGCCTCCAAATATATGGTTTGGTTCATTTCCAACAAAGGACTATAGCATTTCACCAGATGGGGCATTGCTCAAAGCTGCTCCAAGGGATGCTGAGACTCACTACTCTCTTGTGGGATGCACTTGTGCACCTGCCTTTCAGTTCCAGGACTTCGAGCTGGCAAAGCGATCGGAGCTTGTTTCTCGCTTTCCTAAATTCGAGCCTCTTATATCATTGCTTACATTCCCTGAAAAAGCATAAGCCTTTGCTGCAGTAGTCTTATAGTTACGTTAGCTTAACGTTCATCCTGAGTTTTTACATGTTTATGGATTCGAATTTTTCAGATCATGTACTTATATGAAAAGCTTGTTAAGAATTCGCATTTGATGATCCAATCTACCATGCGAAAGTTCTTGTATTAGGAACTAAATAATGAAAGAATAAGATTTCCCTTGATCCTGTGGCATGTGATTCAATATGTTTAAAGTCACGTACATCTTGATATGTTTAGGCCCCACAACATTCGCTAATTTTGTTGGGGGCGGGGAGAAACATAGAGGGTGGAAACTCTGGCTTGGCCTGATTGGGAATACAATCTTTTTTAATATAAGCATGCAGTGCAGTATATGGAGAAACTTGTAGCATGTAAGCATAATGTGGATTCAACAGGAATTACCATCTTACAAATGTAATGACAGTGGTTGCCATGAAAAATCAAAACTAGGCATGTTTGACAGAGAAGCAATTGCGAATCTAAAAACCCTAATCAATTCTGTAGAACCCAAACCATGTTCGTGCGTATCAATCAAATCCAAATGAAGCGTGGGATGAAGGAACCATCAGCATTGCCTTGCCTTTACTAGACCCGGATAAAAATAACTTTCCCTTCTCACCCTTTGTTCAATGGGTCCTCAGAACTTATACTATTTCTCTTCTTTCTTCTTTTCTGCGCTCCCATTGAGGTGAAAATCTTGGGTCACTGTCGCACTAAAATTTGCGGACATGGCCTAAACCCACGACATAAGGGAGGGCAAGTTAATCAAAATCGAGGAACTCCATTCTTTTTCTCATGGAGCCTTTTAAATCTGTAGCATCCCTCTCTGCTTTCTGAGCCTGAATAGAAGAGAAACATGTACTTAAATTACAGTGAAGTGCAAAAGACAACAATAGGAAGGAACAATCCAACCCAGATACCTGAATCAACATAATAAGATTGCACCTTTAATACACTAATCTTAAAAAGGAAAGGATTTAATTGAAAGGTTCCAACATCCAGCTGATACAAGAGGTTAATTACTTTAGAAAAGCCAGAGTAAACTTATATTCCCACTCAAAATAGCAAAGGGCATAAAGAAGCTCCTCTATTAACACTGGCAGGACAAATTAGGATAGTGCAAAGAAGCTATCTATGCTGCATAGGCATTCACAAAATCAAAGTTCTCTTCATCCATTTGTCAACATGGTTTAATATGACCAAGTGCTAACACGCTAAACATTCAGATTGGAATTTTCAAATTAAGCATTAACCAACATACATCTAAAGACTTACCCTTTTTATCTCTGCTTCTGGTACCAGAGTCATATGTGGAGGAAGCTCCTCCTTACCCAATTCCTAAAATAAAAGATGCATAGCGAGAATTTAATAAAAAACTGATAACGTAGTCAAAAGTATTAAAAGTGGTCAAGTCTCCCAGAACTGAAAGAGAATGCAAATATACCAGCTCTCCAATTAAGACGACATTCTCCCCACGGATTACATACAGACCTAATGGGATGTCACAGTAAAGATCACCGACAATAACTCGTTCACATGCACCTTCAAGAACAACATTAGCTGGGCACAGGGAAGAAAATCACCATTATCAATAAAGGTTTCTAAAGAATAATAAGAGTAAAGCTAATTAGAACTTAGTATGGTACGTGAAGTGACATACCAAACTGATCAAAAGACCGTAGTAATCCCAAGAGCTTTCGGCCATCTCGCAATAAGACAAGAAGCTTTTCTGAAAAACAAATAAAAAACCCTAATAAGCCAAGTGCTTTGTAATGAATCAATCTCTAATCAGTTTACTGATGTACCTCACATAATACGAATCCATGCAATCACATGGAACCAAAATGTAGGCATCTCATGCCAGTTTAACACCTTCTCCCCCAAACACCCACCCCCACCCCCAAAAAATAAAAATTCCAGTGCTTCAAGGAAGAGCTACAAAAGCTCTAGAAACAAAACATTCTGCTGTGACATTAAACCACTAATTATGAAGCTTTAATTTAATGAGTGCATCTTCAGCATATGGCTCACATTTAATAATGGTTTGAATCTTGATTTCTTTAAGAAAATATTTATCCCATTTCTACTTTTGTTTATGCAGCAAAGATATGTCTTCCATTCTAAGAAATTGGGAACCACTCTTGTACCCCAAATCCACAATTCAGCACTTGAAATTCAACATCATAATAATTACTTAGTGCAGAGATCCAAATTTGAAGCTTTACTCGTTATGTTCCTGGTATCTCACATACAGTTGAAAAACGCAATCAAACAGAGCATGCAATAAGAAAGCTACAAATCAAACAGTAAAGCAGCCTCTCTAAAACCATTCCATGAAACAAATGTGCAAGAAAAATACTAGACAAGAGCTCTATAAGGCAATTAACAGCTAAAACATACAAAACAGCCAAAAATCCATAAAACCCATCTTCAATTACTTTAAACTAGATTCAATTGCTTCAAACTAGATCTAAACACAGAGAGAGAGAGAGAGAGAGAGAGAGAGAGTATACTGTCAAGATAGCTCGCAAGAGAAGTGGAAAGGAAAGTGTCTTCTGCGCCAGCCCACGACATGAAGTAGACTTCTCTTCTACTGAGAATCGGGAACTTGAAAAACCAATCAACAGGACCACAGAGCCTTCTCCAATGGCATTGGCTTCCCACCAAACAACCACCTCCAAAATTAAAAAGAAAAAAACTCCCCAAAAGCCTCAAAGCCCAAAACTTTCAGTCACACACTTCTCCACTAGATCATCACCACCACCAACCCTAATTGCAAGCAATTTCCAACAATACCCATCAACAACTAAGTGTGTAAGTTGGTTTTGGACCATTAAAGTCACCGGCTTGGGCAAAAAGATGACATCTTTTCATTGGTCTTCTCTCTCTCTCTCTCTGTCTCTCACACAATATTGCTCTTTTTTTTCGTTATTATTATTATTAGCTTTTTACAGTAGGATACAGTCTAGCTTAAGGAGGAAAACTTTGATTAATTAATTATAAGGTCTCCTTAATGGAGCGTCGGATTAGATTAAGTACCATCTAGATTGGCGCCGAAATTAGATATACACGATCTAATTAATTATACGTTTCCTCATACGTAATCTTTTCATCATATATGAAGCAATTATTAGGAATATTATTTTCTCTTGTTTTTTTCCTTTTTTCTTTTTCCTTTTTGTGTGAAAACAGAAATAAGGTATTTCGGGTATGATGACATCTCATGGTATTTACTAAAAAAAATCCAGGAATAAAGTTAAATCTTTTTTAATTATACAATTCCCATCATTCGAAATGATAACTAATGTTTTTTCAGAATAAGGTTTAAACCTTTTTCTTATTCAATTCAAACATAAAAAGGGTTAAATTTTCTTCTTATTTAAACAAGGGAGTTTCACTAAAACACCAAAAATAGGGGTTGAAATTATAAAAAAACCCAAACACTAAACATATAAACACACCCAAAACCCATCATTACACACACTTAAAACCCATTTATAAACACACCCAAAAAGTTGACTTTGGGGTTGATTTTGGGTGTGTTTCTATGCTTAAATAGTGCTTGGGTTTTTTTATAAATACATGTCTAGGATTGGGTTTATTTATAAATTTGTATTTAAACAATGCATATTTTCTGTTTTGCATATATCAGAAACAATGCATGTGTAACACTTCTAATCATGGAGCTGAAAAAGTTTTATCTACTAGTTTTATTGTAATATCACAATCGTTATTTGCAGTAGTTACATGATTCATTCAAAAAAAGTTTGGAGCGACATGAATAAGTTATGTAGATTTCACGTTATTTTATTATTGGTTTATTGTATCGTGTTTATTATCGTGGTAAAGAAGGTAAAGAGTCCTTTGACAATATCTCATATGCAAAGGGAAAAAAAAATATTTTAAAAAGAAAAAAGAAAGATAAATAGTCTTTTTTTTCCCTTCCTTATTTTGATGATGAAAGATTTACAGTCGATTTATTTTGTTATTTTTTTGTGTTTGCTGATTATGCTGAAATGGAACATAGGCCAAGCTGTAGGAGACAGTTCATTCATACAAAATGCCACTCTCGTTGCACAGCACAAAGCCAAGTATGGAGCTCAAACATTTTGTTAGACAACAAATTAGGCATGCAAAAGAGGACAACACCACCACATTGGCAGAAATCTGCAGGTCAAAGTTAATTTTAGCATAAGATCAGTAAAAATTTGAAGTAAAAGATTAATGTTTGGGGAAGAGACAATCAAGATACATCAAAAACTTACCCTGCATGAATTCTTCCCAGTAGTCTCTATATCTCTAGAACAATATCTGCAACCAGAAAAAGAAAAATGGTGTCAACAACTTTGCAAAGCATGTCCATGCTTTAACCAAATGACATAATTAAGTGAGTGCTTACATTCAGAATCAGTCTTGACCCATTTGCTTCCCTCATCTTCCTTATCAATATTTATTTCTTCATCATTGGCAGACTTGGCAATATTGTGTCTGTTCTCCAAGTACTTTTTCATGGACATTGTTGAAGCACTTGAACTTTTGGGGTATATCTTCTTATGAAGTATTGCCTTCAATATCTGTCAACAAATCAAGAAAGGAAAAATAATTACAAATGTCACAAATCCCTCTGTAGGGGAAAATTAGTTATGTGCATGAATCTTAATGTTTGGATTTGAGCTATGCAGTATATCACATCACTGATACTCCGTGAATCTAAACTATTGATCAAATTATCTATTGCGTTGAATTTTGCTTGTACGTGTGGTTTAGCTAGATTTACAGTTTGACAACATAAGTTTAACAAGAGAACGTGTATGATGTACCTTCTCCATTCTTGACTCAAGGATTGGATCTCTTAGACCAGGAGCAGCAGCTGGTGCAAACCCACTTCTACAAACAAACACCTTCTTGAGGAGAAAAGACAACGACTTCTTGCCAATGGCAGTGTTTGTGTTCTCCAAACAAACATCTTTCCCTCGGCTGAGAACAACACTGCCGCTCCGTTGGAAGCGACTGCCATTTTCTTTAGGCTCATCACAATCTGCATTGTTACCATTTCTCTCAACTTTCAAGCTTGACTGTCTGGTTAGAAACTTGTCCAGTGGAAGAAAGTTTGGAACTTTTTCAAGCTCTGCGCCCGAATTTGATTGATGATCAGCTTCTTCATTCAAGTAGGAGTTCAACTCATTCTGAATGTTTCTTACTTCCTCTGGTGTAAATCCATGGAGATGGTCTTTAGGGGATGGTGGTGGGTTGCTCTGTTGATCTTCTTTCAAGTCACTATTTCCTAATGTCCCAATTGTCAGCAATCCATGAGGCCACTCATTCACTTCTTCTTTGGGAGGTTTTTGCACCTTGTCATCTATAAAAACAAAGCACGGATTAAAAGAAAAGAACACTCAATTGTGTGATTGAACATGTCATATTTTCATCTATATATAATCACCATCAAACACTTTTGAGCTTGGCTTCTTAATCAGGGTTTTTCCAGTAAGCTTACTTTGCATCCAATCAAATATCTGCAATCAAATCAAACAAGTAAAAAAAACCTTCTAAATTGAAGCATACAGAATACAGATAAACTGATAACAACACAATCACCCAAGCACAAGTTTCTTTTGTTACCTTCATTTGTTTGTTACAAGAAGAGGAAATGGATGAAGTGGGCTTATAGAAATCAGGTGTTTGTGTACACAGAATCCCATAAGCCACTGAGAGTCTTTATATAGAGTTGTGAAGTGAGAAGTTCCGTAGCCAAGCAAGCTGGTAATCTTGCCACTGGTTCAAGTTCCCAAACACTCACTTTTCCCGCCTTTTTTCTATCTTTCATAACTTAGTATATCACCTTAATTTTATCTCTCTTCTTTTTTCTTTTTTTTCTTTTTCTGGTCTCCAGATTTAACCATTTCAATTTTAGTTTTCATTGTTCGTGCTAGAATATAGAGGAAATTGAGGATGAGAAGTGATGTTGAGACTGAGAAAGAGGATAATGTGCAGCAAGCAAGAATTGCTACTTTTACATCATAAGATAAAGAAAATAGAATTTTATTTTTTTACAGTTTGTGATAAATTATATATTCCAAAAAATCAAATAAAATCGTGCCTCACATGAGATGAGATCTATGGCGGGCCAACATGCTGTTCATGGGGGTTTCAAGACCACCCAGCCACGTGAACATGTCCAGTCCAATGCTAAACCAAAACAAAAAAAAGGTTGAATTGTTTTTTTTTACCGGGCCGCCCTTGACCAGACCGGTGAAGGGAGCTGGGAAGGAGATTTGCCAAGTGTCGAATGACGACATGGTGATGACTGGTCATCCGACTGTATCTGACCAACACGTGTCTCAAAGGGTATTTTCCATTGCTCATTAACTTTGTGCTACGTACATCTCTAGCATTACACAAAATAATAATAATAATAATAAAATAAAAAAAGTGAGGCAACTTTAATGTGTCTGGTAGTCCCTCCACGCAAACTGTCTCTAGCTCCTTTGCCATCTCTTTCTCCCACTCCCATTGGAAGGAGTTCACTCATCTCTTCTCTACATGAGATTTAAGTAAATAATATTAATCATGATCAGCACTATTTTCAGTGAACTATGACTCCCAAATTCACCATTTGAACAGCCATTATGTATTTCTCTAACAATCTTGCAAAACTGGGCCATGTGATGCAATGGCCTTGAATCAAGTGCATTAATCTTATATTTATAGATTCCAGTTGCATCCACCACCAGGTGAAGTCTTGCAGAGCGGAAGGGTTGTCCATACTATATTTAGAAACCCTCTACAAGCAGTCCAAGACTTCCCTAAAATGGAAATGTGTCATATTAAAACAACAAACACATACATCAAAGCTTTACATGTATAACACACGATCAGCCCAAAAACAGTTTGTAACAATATATGCAACAATCAAATATGGTGTTGTTAAGTTAGTAGGCCCCAAAAGCAATTTGGTTTGGTTTCTCTCCACCTGGATTGTTCTCTTCTCTCTGTTACACCAACAGTTGAGGTTGTAATACGTGTCGTTGGTTTGACGAAAAATGTTGCAATACGAGGACACGTGTCGAGCTGACACCACAAGTTATAATATACAATGGTAACTGCCGTTCTTCTCTTTGAACTTATCAGTTGGGATTTTGAGGGGATAGATTTTCTGCACCAGCAATGGAAAACTCTGTTCACATGGCTGAAAATTCTCTCGTTTTTTAAGAGATTGGTTGGTTTTTTTTTTTTTTTCCTTTCTCTGGGTACCCTAATGGCTTTATGATTATTTGAAACCATTGTTTAAGCCTTTCCAATCATGGGATTTGATTATCATTTACTGTTTTGTTCAGGTTTAGTTGATATTCACATTGAGCTAAACTTGATAATTAAAGTTGTCTCTGGGAAGTGGAACATGTTTGAGTAATGGCATCACATTATGCCTCAGCCCATGAAAGCATATACAGAGATCTCTACCAACCAGCTGTTATCATTGGAGCCTGCTTTGCAGCTGTGGCGCTGGTCCTCTCCATTTTTCTCATCTTTCAACATCTCAGATTATACACCAAACCCACTGTCAGTTCTTCTCCCATATAATTCACCATAACTCTTTGAGTCTCCTTTTTTTCGATGCATAAAATCCGTTTTACTCTGAAATAACTGCAGGAATCAATCCAGTTTATGTTATATACTTTGCTGAATTGTGTTCATTATGAAGCTATCTTGAGCTATGTGACACTTTATGATGTTTGTTTGTTGTGTTAGATTTTTCTTCACTGATGCTTCCTGATCTTTTCGTTTGCAATTTGAAGAAATAGGAAAATGCTTGTTTGTTTGTAGTTTGGATTGGACTAGATTGCATTCAATCCCCTAATTAATCTCTTTTCCAGGAACAAAAATGGGTGGTTGCTGTAGTTTTCATGGTACCTGTCTATGCTACTGAGTCAGTAAGTATGGTTCCCTCTCTCTCTCTAAAATAGATATCCATGTCTATGCGACAAGATTGCATTCTTCTTTCGTCGACCTTTGAATTTAAATTTCTCTGTTCACAAGAAAAAACAAAATTTAATAGTCAAGCTTTCTTATGCATGTCGAACGTTTTAGAGCATGAATTTATTCTAAGAGAAGGAAACATGATATTATAGGTTTCTTCTCTTGACTATATCTGTAACCTTCATTAGCAGATTCATTTTCTGTCGTTTCGTTTTAATAACTCTGGTCATGCAGTATTGGCATTGATTTTCTGGTTTTGACTTCTTCAGATTTTATCCTTGTGGAATCCAAAACTTTCTCTTGCATGTGACATTCTAAGAAATTGTTATGAAGCATTTGCCTTGTATTCTTTTGGAAGCTACTTGGTTGCTTGTCTGGGTAAGTCATTTGTTTCTGCATTGATTTCAGAAATGTTACTATTTATATCTTCTTTGATGCAACCATGCCAGTTTTACTGTCGTAGTTGTACCTACAAATATAATCTTTGGGGTCCTCCTATTAATCAAACATGACCATGTTTTCTAGAGGGCTCAATATCTTGAAACTTGGAATATTCACAGACTGCTAGAAACTTCCTGTACAGTTGAGATCAAGCATTTATCTCAGTAGGAAGACAAGCAAGGCAACTGATGTAGGTTACACAATGGTGCTCCCTTTGGAGATCCCATAACCTTAAAATATTCTCTGTGAAGTGTGTTTCTTAATCATTACTATAATTCGTGATGTTATAACTTGTTTAATTATTCTTGAATGGCTATTATGTAGGAGGTGAAAGAAGAGTTGTAGAACTACTTGAAAATCAATCGGGAAAACTGCTCAACAAACCATTGGTAGAAGGAACAGATGAGAATCGCACTGAACCACATTGGTCTCTTCGTAACTTCTTCTTACGACCATGTATTCTTGGGAAACATTTGCTCAATATAGAAAAATTTGGTCTTGTACAATATGTAAGTCACTATGTTTTTCCCTTCTCTAAATCCACTATAATTTTTTTGGCTCTAATATCTGCCGGATAGTCCAGATGATTCTGAAGACAGTTTGTGCATTCTTAGCATTAGTGTTGGAGATCTCAGGTGTTTATGGAAATGGGAAATTCAAGTGGTATTATGGGTATGTAATTCATGTAAATATGAGTAATTCATTATAACACACTGCTAATGTCATTGAATTATATTACTCCAATATTCTTCATGGAAGCTTAGTACTATCGCCTTTATTCTCTTGCAGTTATCCATACATGGCAGTAGTATTGAACTTCAGCCAGATGTGGGCATTGTATTGCCTTGTGCAGTTCTATAATGTAACTCATGAAAGGCTTCAACCAATAAGACCACTTGCAAAGTTCATCAGCTTTAAGGCTATTGTTTTTGCCACTTGGTGGCAAGGTGTGGGCATTGCGCTATTGTGTGCGTTTGGTGTTCTTCCCAAGGAGGAGAGACTACAAACAGGCTTGCAGGATTTCTTGATATGTATCGAAGTATGTTACTTCTTTTGCTGTGGTAACTCTGTTTCTGCTGGACAACTTTGTTCTGTTAAATATTAAAACATTGCTTGAACTAGGAAAAGAATCTTCTCTAAATGTTTTGGTTTTAGTGTTGAACTTTTATGGCCACAAAGCTTCATTATAATTCTGTTTACTCCAATAGCCACGATAATGCAGGTTTATGTCTTATGGCTTGGCAGATGGCAATTGCAGCTATTGCACATATGTTTGTCTTTTCAACAGCACCATACCATTACATTTCGGCTTATGAGTATGGGAAGGTCACCACAGAGACAACCAAGACTAAACTGAAGTTGGAGGAAAGTGACACCCCAGCTGTGTTCGAAAGAAAAGAAACTCAGGTCAAAGCTCCTGGAACAAGTGTCACCGAGAGCGTTCAGGACATTGTTGTTGACGGTGGTCAGCGTGTAAGTTCTTTTCCTGTCAACAAGGATTGGATAGAATACATATTTCGTAGATCATTTGATTTATATTCAATTTTCACATTTTAAACAGGTGGTCAAGGATGTTGTCTTGACCATAAATCAAGCAATAGGGCCTGTGGAAAAGGGTGTGGAAAAGGGTGTGACAAAGATCCATGAGACATTCCACCAAAGAACAGAGGGCTCAGAATCAGGAGACCAAGAAGTTGATGAACAAGTTGAAATGAATCTTACCAGAGAGACTCATGTGGATCCTTAAGAAAACACAGTACTCTTTCTGCTTGAATTGAAGGAAAATGTACACATATTTAACTTGTGTTGCAAATAATGATTTAAGTAAGAGAAACCAATTGCAGACTGGAATGTTTTGCCTGGAGAATGAGAATCTATGACAATCTTTATGCAATCAGACCATAGGGGAGAATAAGTTAAGGGTACCCCCCACCCCCCCGCGGCGCGCTTGGAATAGGTCAAGCCTACAATATTCTTCAAATATAGAAAATAATTTTTTTTTCAAAAAGAAGCTGACATATAATTAATTTTAACCATATATATCATTCCTGGTGAAATGTACAGGGTTCACCCAGACTGTCATAAGAGCCCAAACAGTATCATTATAACAGTATGAATTGTTTGTCTAATCATAAGACCGAGTATAGAACTAGCTGTCTAGCCGTGCGTATTTGATGCCAGTCCAAGAGAAAGAACAAAATCCTATACAC